TCTTACACTGCTAAATTAGGGACGGCGAGCGCAGATAGCCCTCGTGTAGCTTTGCGCGAAATTCAAAAACAAACAAACAAACATACCAAAATTAATTCATAGAGAAGCCATATTTATCAAACAATATTTATAATTCATTTCCCTTTCACATTTGATAAAGTCTAGATGGCTAGTTGAATTTGTAAAATGCAAGCATACCATGCATTTGCTACTCACTTAGTTGATATATATATATAATTTTTCAAAAAGTTTGTGCATACTGAATATTTTGGGTCTTAATAAAGAAAGTCCGCCAAGTTGTCAAGTGCATTATCTAGTAGGAAAGATTACTGTATGCAGCATATACTGTATAGACAGCGACAATGGTCTTTTCTATTGGCAAGTCGGGTGATCCTCCAGAGATATATATTCTCTTGCTTTATAGTGAGAGTCAGTCACGTGGGTAGCGTCTGCGTCCTGAGAAAAATGTTATTGTTGTTGCTAATATATATATATATATAATAATAATGCGATGTTTTCTCAGTCTGGAACAACTTAAATCAACAACTTCAATAGTTTCACTTATTATAATAAGAACTTTAAACTTTTAACCTTTTAAATAGAACTTGGCTTTATAACTTCAACTTAAACTTTCTAGAGGTTTCATATAGCTCAACTTAACGTCACATCTCTCTCCAGTAAAGGAGCCATACTTTATACGAATTAATTTAAAATTGTTTGACTGTGTGCAAACTTGTGTTCAGATACTTTCTGTTGTGTCAGACTCAGTCGAAGTCAGAGAGAGTCAGATTTCTGCTTCATAATAAATTTTCTGGCGAGCCTCCAGTTATTTTGTAGTGAATCTGAGAGCACCACAAATCTGTATAATAATTCTGAATTGTACCTATCTATCTGTGTTCACTTGAATTTTGAACTCCTCCCACAACTTTCAGCTGAACGATCTGAAACATTACACACTACCCTTACACAATATAAACTGAGAAACGCGTTTGTTTGTTTTTTAATTCAGGGTAGGCTGCTGAGATTTACATGAAAACTGACAAGAAAAAGTAAACTGTTACTCAAAACAAAATGTGCAACATCTTTTTGCATAGTTGTTGTTTGCCGTGAATTAACACGGGAAACTGACCAATTCAGTGTAAAAAAACTAGAGTAAGTGTTCTTGTTCAGAGTACATTTGTTCAAAAAAGAACACATTAAAAACATATTTATTCCTTTACAAGCAAAAGTAACCATTCACAGAGACGCAAAGAGTTTAAGTTTTAATTTAGCAAAAGTACCCGTCCCCAGTGACAAGAAGAGTTTAAGTTATACTATTATAATTATCCATCCCCAGTGATGCAACGAGATTAAGTTAATCTATTAAAAGTACCCGTCCCCAGTGACGGGAAAAGTTTAAGTTAATCTATCAATTTGAATTATTTCATGAACTTTAAAAAAGGTTAATTGTGTAGCACTATTGGTTTCACTTAGAGGCAAAGCTCTGAGCTACTTATACCACCCACCGCGAAAAGTAATTGTTGAACATTTCAGTCATGCTAGGAGTTGCTGAACAATAACATACAGTAAATCTACATTTTTATTTTTTAAGTTATGTCACATTTCAAAATGTAAATGATAGTGTGATTAATTCATAACAATTTAGTGTAGAATATCCTGCTTGCAAAATAAAATTTGGCATCAACATTATTCACGTCTATTCTTCCGTTATTTCAAAAGTGAATGTTGGGCTTTGCATGCATGTGCAGCTTTTCAAATGCAGCGCGGGAAGCGGCTGCCGTAAACGAGAGACAGACGAACGCTTGGTCAGACACCACGGTTCGCAAAAGTACTTTTAGTTCTTACACGAAACTGATAATTTATCATGTTTCGTAAGGTCAAAGAAGTGATTATACATGGAGAATGACAACCATTGTTATGCTTTAGATGTCTAAACATGTAACAAAGTACATCCATTGTTCTTACTACGGTGTGTGTAAATCTTATCAAATATTCAAGTTATGGATACATTGTTTAAAAAAAAAACAATAAATTTACTTACGGTTATTTACCAAATGGCAAAGCGGTTTCCCAGTTTCATAAGCGTAAGGGTAGGAGTCTTTGTACATACAGCCACAAAGTTCCAAGGTCTTATTGGCGTGACATTCGGTGAGACAAAGCTTGAAAAATGCCAAACATTGATTTTAATTATTTTATTTTTCATTCCGCTCAATTTGTACCAATTCACTAATTTCACGGGTGAATTCTTTTAACATTTTGTATAGATGATAAATCACTAAGAAAGCAGAAACTTAACTTTAGTTACTATGTAAACCAATACTTATGTTACTATGTAAACCAATACTTATGTTACTAGGTAAGCCAATATTTATGTTATTATGTAAACCAATACTTATGTTACTAGGTAAACCAATACTTATGTTACTAAGTAAACTGATACTTATGTTACTAGGTAAACCAATACTTATGTTACTAAGTAAGCCAATATTTATGTTATTAGGTAAACCAATACTTATGTTACTAAGTAAATCAATACTTATGTTACTATGTAAGCCAATACTTATGTTACTATGTAAGCCAATACTTATGTTACTATGTAAACCAATACTTATGTTACTAGGTAAACCAATATTTATGTTACTAGGTAAATCAATACTTATGTTACTAGGTAAACCAATACTTAAGTTACATAGTAAATCAATACTATGTAGGCCAATATTTATGTTACTAGGTAAACCAATATTTATGTTACTAGGTAAATCAATACTTATGTTACTAGGTAAACCAATACTTAAGTTACTAGGTAAATCAATACTATGGAAGTCAATACTTATGTTAATAGGTAAACCAATACTTATGTTACTAGGTAAATCAATACTTATGTTAATAGGTAAATCAATACTTATGTTACTAGGTAAATCAATACTATGTAAGCCAATACTTATGTTACTAGGTAAATCAATACTTATGTGATTTTCTAGAAATATCTAACAATTTACATTATAAAGAATCTACATGTATTGTGCGAGCAAAATTTATTCTTGATATAAGCACTTGTTTTTATACCACAATCTTTACACATACACTCCCGAAATACACTTTCTGAATTTACACATACACTCCTGAAAAACACTTTCTGAATTTACACTTACACTTCTGAAATACACTTTCTGAATTTTCTCACCTCTTTGGTCAAAATTCCTTTTCTAAAGTTTGCTCTCCCGAGGGATTCATAATCAGTGCATTGGTCAGAATATGGCGATGGAAGTCGTACAGTTTCCTTCTGTTTATAGATATATAAAATATTCGAACTTAGAATTACAATAAAGTTATTTATTTCAAATATAACTGACAGTTACCTAGACGAGATAACGTGAAGCATTTAAGTCATTACAGTAAAAGCCTGTACCAGAATAATAAAGTTGTACTAGCATTAAAACATTTACTCAACAAAGTTGTACTGACAACAAAACATTTACGCAACAAAGTTGTACTGGCAACAAAATATTTACTCAGTAAAGCTGTACTAACAACAAAACATTTACTCATCAAAGTTGTATTGGCAACAAAATATTTACTCAGCAAAGTTGTACTGCCAACAAAATATTTACTCAACAAAGTTGTTTGGCAACAAAATATTTACTCAACAAAGTTATTTGGCAACAAAATATTTACTCAACAAAGTTGTACTGGCAACAAAATATTTACCCAATAAAGTTGTATTGGCAACAAAATATTTACCCAATAAAGTTGTATTGGCAACAAAATATTTACCCAATAAATTTGTATTGGCAATAAAACATTTACTCAGCAAAGTTGTACTAACAACAAAACATTTACTCATCAAAGTTGTATTGGCAACAAAATATTTAATCAGCAAAGTTGTACTGACAACAAAACATTTACTCAACAAAGTTGTACTGACAACAAAACATTTACTCAACAAAGTTGTACTGTCAACAAAATATTTACTCAATAAAGTTGTATTGGCAACAAAATATTTACTCAGCAAAGTTGTACTGACAACAAAACATTTACTCAACAAAGTTGTACTGACAACAAAATATTTACTGAATAAACTTGTATTGGCAACAAAATATTTACTCAGCAAAGTTGTATTGGCAACAAAATATTTACTCATCAAAGTTGTATTGGCAACAAAATATTTACTCAGTAAAGTTGTACAAGCAACAAAATATTTACTCAGTAAAGTTGTACAAGCAACAAATCATTTACTCCTCCTGAGCTGGACCTCATATACGAATAAACAAATAATAGAAAACTCGATTGGAATATAGACCTTATCTCGTATAGTGCAATACATTTAGATGTACAAACCAAATATAATATTACAGTAAAGTCATTGTATATATTCGTATAATTACATGTTTGTGTTTGTAACTGTATTATTGTCCTATCGTTCTAGCAACAAAGCATTTATTTTACCTGTGAAAATGTAAACGTGTAAGTAAATCCTGCATCCATGAAATGCACATCACTCATATATGGTGCTGTGTTTGTTGGCAGGTACTTCATTACAACCCGAGGACTTTCCTTGTGGTAGAAACTACGCTTTACATTGTACACAGAGTTTATTGAGATTGCTAAAGACATGGAAAAAAATGTAAAATTCTTTAGTGAATTTATTGTAGCGTGGACGCGACATAACATTATTTTGTGGTAAAAGCACTTCCACATCGTGACTAAAAGTTAAAGTCCACAAACACACATTTATTTTTCTCTTGTACGGAAATGTCGGAATTTCTGACTTTTTTCAATTAATTATCAGTTCATAGTTTTGCACTGACCTTAAATTGGCTGCAGACTAAATTCATTTAGATCTAATGCCATCAAAACTTCTGATACCATTTAAAAAATTATTATCACGAGAAAAAAAAAGTTAAAAACGCTTTTAAGAAACAAGTGTGTTCTTATTCCAATACCACAATAACAACAACAAGAAATGCCATTATCACCCAGTATTCCCAGGCAGTTACCTTCCCAAGAACTAGCCGGGCCCACGTTGGATGTCTTCTGGGATCGAACGATGTATGTAGATCAAAGGCACAAAAGTTCAATGGAGCTGCTTTGGGTCCCTGAAAGGTACGTGGTCGAATAGAATTACTCTGATTCCAGATTTCTCAACCATATTCTTCACAAAAACGGCTGTTGATTTTGAGATGTAGCTGGAAGTTTGTGAACTTCTGGGTTTGACCTTCGTTATCTTGTCAACGGTACTAGGAGATATATGCCTCTTTTCAAAGTATTAGCTTTTGGGTTGGAGAATTACAAAAGGGAATTACTCAACCCAAAAGCCAATAAGTTTTCTTTTATAACTGCTTCACTTAGCATATGAGGGCGTTACTCCAAATTAGCCCAGGTTGTGGTTGTCTTAAACACTGCTCGTGAATTTTTCTACTTATTTTAAGAACATTAAAGGCTAAATTCTTCGGAATAATTCTCACTGTATGAATATGTTTTCAGAAAATGTTTCTATATTCCTACAGCCGCAAGTCTATTCATGTTGGAATTTCAACATTAAATCTTGAAAGTTCTAATGAATCGAGTGTGTACATGATAAGTATTTAGCCCATGACTCACATCTGCGATTGAATTGTAGAAATAATTCAAGTAGGTCACGACGTGTATCTGTTCCGTTTCAATTAATATTAATCTACATAATATTACTCTAATTATCCTCATTAAGATGTCCATCAAAAGTACGTGTTCTATCTGAAATAACTTAAAAAATACAACTACTAAGTATTATTGTGGTTTAAATACCAGCGGCATACTGCAAATGTAACTGAAATGTCATCATGAACCACGGTAGTGGTTTGTAATAGGTATAGTCCCTGTGGTCTTCTTTACTATTATTGAATATTTTCCCGCCAGCCTACAGCAAAAATGACTGTGAATATTGTAATAAAACTTGGGCGATATTATTAAAGGCATCATTGCGCATTATGTAGGGTAGCTTTTAACTTTATTTTACTACCAACCAAATAACAGCGGCTGTATAACAGTTCACGCCCAATCGTTTTAATGTAGTCTGTGGCTTATATGGAGCCTCTTTATCTACTACATGCATACGTATATAGCTGCGTGCAGACCGTAGATATAATTTAATGCTTACATGGCAGGCATGACAAATGTACTATAGCGATTACTAACTTATTATAGCCAAAACCGCGTGATTGTGAATTTTATAGATAGAGTAGCCATCCTTGATGCTGACTATAAGGAGTGACAAGAATCTTGCAAGCTGGAGATGGCGATTCTAAGCGAAAGTCAGACAAATTTTATAGCTATATATTATATTTAGAAAATATTTAGTTTCAGATAAAGTATGCAGCAGCGATGGCTCACCAGAGTTTAGGGGTATAAAAGTGTCACAACTCAAACTACATCAAAAATGGGGGAGGGGAGAGAAAAGTACATTAATCTAATCAATTCATAATTGTTAATTAACACATTTTCGACATTGTAGAATAAGCAGAATGTCACTCTAAGAGGAAATTGGCCAGCTGAAGCAGAGGTTCGCCCAGAAAAAAGAACATATTTTAAGGTTTCAGCTACCTCAAACCGACGAACTAATATTTTTAGATTCTTAGGACACTTGTAAAGAATTGGCCTTCATTTCCTATTTGTAATTACTTTTGTTTAAATAAGAACAAACTACTATTAACTTGATAATGTAGTCTAGTGATTCTGAACACTGCACATATACACATATTTTATTTAAATCGCCCAATTTTTTATCGTTAAAAGATTGTTGTTAAGCATAAAACTACACAAATGGCTATCGAAACCCGGTTTCTAGTAGTATAAGTCCACAGACATATCGCTGTGTCACTGGGGAATACGTTAAAAAGAAAAATAGAAACAAAATGATAAATTAAAGCAATTTAGGTATACAATATAGGAATTTTGAAACACCCTATACCCTCATACCATGTTCAGACTTTTATACTATGTATAAACTTATGAATCTCAATGTGCCTCTGGTGAAATTTTGTTCTCCTTTTACGTATTTTAAATAGAAAAGTGTCCATAAATCGAAACAGATAATGTGTGCAATATAGGGAAGAAAACTTTGGTTGTTTCTTTCCAGTGAAATATTTTTATAGAAAGATATGAGAATATAATCTATTTGAGGTTTACAAACCAAATATGTTATCTTTCATATGAGGAGCTGCATTGTAGTCCCAGTCTATGTTGAAACTAAAGCAGTTTCCATAACGTGAATCATAGTAGCTATCAAAAGGGCTGAAAAACAGACAAATTTTCAAGTAATTAGCATATAGTATAAAATTTCAAATTAATTTGAATTGTTTAACATAATCTTTGATATGTAAGCATCTAATAAAATATACTCACCACGAAGATATCTAGCCAGTTTCCGTTTTTTAACGTTTGGTTTGATTTGAATTTCGCGCTAGCCGTCCCTAATTTAGCAGTGAAAGAGTAGAGGGAAGGCAGCTAGTCATCACCACCCAGCACCAACTCTTGGGCTACTCTTTTACCAACGAATTTCAATAATCTGATTGACCGTCAGATTATAACGCCCCCCCCCCCCTCATGACTGAAAGGGCGAGCATGTATTGCTCTAAATCTATTCGCAAAGTGTTCTACCACGCCAAATGGCATGGTCAATAGGGCGCTTGACTCGCGGGTTCGAATTCTCGTCCCATCAAACATGCTCGCCCTTTCAGCCGTGGGGGCATTATAATGTAATGGTCAATCCTACTATTCATTAGTAAAAGGGTAGCTCAAGAGTTGGCGGTGGGTAGAGATGACTAGCTGTCTTCCCACTAGTCTTGCACTGCTAAATTAGGGACGCTAGGGCAGATAGCCCTTTGCGCGAAATTCAAAACAAACCAAACAAAACTTTCGGTTGTGATTATTTACAACCTCCAGCTATTGAGTTAAATATAGTAGATGGTTTCGGCCTGATAGTTGCAAGTTAGAGATGATTATGTCTAGATCCTAGGAGCATTTGACTTAACTATTTAGTCCTGTATTATATAACGTTATATTTAGATTGAAAGTTGTGAATACGTAACTGATCAAAATTAGTTTGAAAAATTTAATTAACTTCAGTCATCTTCCTTGGCCAAACAGTCACCAGGTAAAATTGAAAGGAGAATCTATGCGTTCTTTGATTGACACATACACACACATAATCATTAATCAGTTTGTCCGCTGTATAATAATTAGTATCGAATAATGAATTAGACGAAATGTTACAATACTGTTCATATACTTAAATTAAGTTATTGTATGGTGAAATAAAAATGACTCAAAACTCCATAGATATTATATATATTTCAGCATTATATAAGGCCTAACTGTATTTCTTTGCTTGCCCAAGCTGTGCTGATAAGCCTTGAATAGATGAAACTGCAGTCTACAGCAGAGGGTACAGACGATCAAAGAATGCGTTAGGCCTCTACATTATGGATTCTCCCTTCAATTTCACCTCTGGTGAAAAAGAAAATAAATCTTTAACAAAGAATTATTAAACAAGAGGTAATTATTTTTATATTACACATCTATATTAAAACACAGAACTTAAAACGAAAAGCGATTAACTTTATAAGCGTTGTAAAATATTAACAAAAGTTAAGAAAATTCTGAAGGTAAAATAAACAGCTAGAATCTATTCTTATACGTTAACACAAAAATAGCCAAGTATCGAGCGTACCCGAAGGAAAACATAAGTATGGAGGAATTACATTATGAAAACGTTTAAAATTTCAGAAACTTATAATGTCAGAAGTACTCAACTTTTTGAAAGTAATGTGTAAATTATAAAATAATTTGTATAAATTAGACATTATTGATACGGTAATTATAGTTAAACGATTTAAATTTGGCTTTTATAGGTTTTTTTTTTTTTTACAAATATTTAGTTTTCAAAGAACATGTCCTTAAAATAACTGAAAATTGAGAAATCAATCTTGTCTGTATAAACCGTACCTGGCTTTGAAACTAATACTTGAATATAATCCTAAAAAAAATACGTCTTCTTGAAATCCATAATCTTCTAGCTTATCTGCACTTCTTTCTAATATTTCAACGTATTCATCCCACAACTGAAAACATAGCAAATTAAAATCAAATTTCCACTAAAACAGTATTATACATAAAGCTAATAAAAAAATAGGCTTAATCGTGAAGTAAAAATGAACGTAATGAGCTTAGTTATATTTTTCCTTTGCTTAAACCCGCCACAAACACCTTGCTTTTACAAACGTTTTCACTGAAACACTGCTCACCCAGTTTGCCGTAATATCTTTATTAATTCTAAACGAAATAAGTCTCGTTTAGAGATTGAGTCGTGTCTAACTCCAGGAAAATGTGTCCATTGTTCTTCAAAAAGTGCAAAAGTTAATGAGATACAATCTACATGAAAATGAAGGCGTGGTTGTTAGAACGCGATAGTCTTTTTGCCCTCGTGTTTTTTTATAACACATACATGAATCTTGTTAAGGTTATTACTATTTTAATATATGTAGCAATGATTTCAGATTTGTATTATTTATATCCTGCTGTTGTTTTTATTTGTACCTATTTTTTATTAGATTGTCGAAAGCCAAAGTGGTGGAATAAATACTGCTATGGCATATAAATATACTGTTGCGTCAGCGAGGTCACGTGACTGTGTTTTTTTATAAATATACCATGCGTTTATATCTTCCTATTTTGATACAGTATCATTCTGAATTTGTCATTTATTCTGTATATGCGCAGATTTCATACATCACGTGCTCGGGAAAGTGATTAATTTAATGTCGTTCTAGCTACTTTTGTTCCTTCTCATTCTATTGAGGTTGCACCTGTTATATTCATGAGCGGCATGGCTGTAATGTTATACGTTATGCAATAATTTAAAAAACAGTGTCGTCATTTTAGTTGACTCATTAATCTTAACATAAATGTATTTTTTTTTCTAACATTTATGAAACATCTAATAAACAATTGTTTATATTGTCATACTTAGGGACTGCTTGTTTGTTTTAGTGTAAAGCTCCACAATGGGCTATCTGCGCTCTGCTTACCGTGTAGAATTGAACCCCACGTTTTTTCTTTTATTCTTGTTTTTATTTTAATCCATGCAGCATCACTTTCCGTCTAGGGAACCTTAAGATTATTCTTTGTAAAAGCTCAATAGTAGCGCAGAGGAAAAGAAAACTAACCGAAAAGTAAAAAAATTAAGTGCATGAAAAGTCTCTTGGGAATGCAAAAACAATTTCCAAGATGAATATTTTCAACTTGAAGAGAGAAGACCTAAGGAAGACGTCGAATGAAAGAGAGAGAGAAAGAAAAGACAGAGAGGAAGAAGTTCTTTTTAAACTTGTTTCTGAACTTAAAAAATAATATGTACTAAATAGGTAGTAATTAAACACACTCAAAATCAAGACAACACTTAAACAAAAGAAGAACACACAACCTACAAGTATCACATCACAACAAAACAAAACAGTAAATCATATATTAGAAGCAGCTAAAAACATTTTATACGAATTCATAAGACAATACCAGAACCCTCAGAATCAAGTATTACACTCATCATAAAGAAATCACAATTCAATACCTTACACCACTACTACCACATATAATACAATTAGTAGTAATTCACAAACATAAATCTCACAGAACACAGCTACAATCACCATAATAACAAGTACATAATCTGATAAAATAAACGGACCTGAAAAGGAAAGTAACAAATAGAAAACAAAAGAAGTCCAAACCAGCTTATCAATTTAACAAATAATAACAGTTCAGGAGGGAGGAAGAGGTTTAGCTAACACCTGACCATCCCTGTTCTCCAAGATGATCGACAAACCAAGTACTATGAATGCTATTATTAGAAATATAAATCTGAAAATATCGTGTACAACCTTTCACGGGCAAAAATAAATAATATTGTCATAAAGCATCGTTAGATAGCAATAGTATACAAGATATAGGTAAAAAAAAAAGAAAAAAGAAGCTTATTGTAAATTTCTCTTATATGATAAACTATTTAAACGAACTACGCTTGCATTTCATTTCTAAAACACTGCTTTTGTATATTATTCGCACATAATAATACAAATATTAAAATCTTAAAATGACTTGGTAAACTTGTGTAAACTACACATTTCACATGGCTAGAGGCAATCACATTAAGAAGTAAATTTTTCTCATTCTTACTTCTGTCAAAACTAGAAGTTTAGAATAATCAGGTCATCATTTTAATTACATTTGCTTATAATTATTGTAATCACGACCAAGTCCGAATTTGGTGTAAATTGTACCATCATCCACATTTCATTCATCCAAGAAACAAATACTAGTTTCTACATGTAATCACTAAAAAATGTCATATGATTATACAGTGAACATCCCTTCCTTTTAATATCAAAATTTGAGTAACCTAATTACACAGGCCTGTGAATTTAAATTACATAAAAGTTATTTTGGTTTTAATAACGGCTTTTCCATAATTCAGCTACGCAGATTTCGAAAATAATATTCTTTTTTTTTCTATCACGTAGCGATTTTTTACAATTCGAGGAGGAAAAAAAAAACTCCTACTTAGATCAAATTATTATTTCATTTACCACAATGAAAATTTTTATTATTATGTTTGTTAACAAAAATGCAAACAAACTGAAGAAAAGGGAAGAACCTTAATGTCAAACGAATATGCATCTTCATTCATCCTGATTTTGTATTTTTTTGGGAAATCTACGTCTTTTAGTCTCAAAATTGCGTGTTGTGGTCTCTCTTTTATGCATTGCGGTATAACGTTTTGTGAAAAATCTATACGTGATGGAAAAAAAATAGATATCATTTTCGGATTCAGCGTACAAGAAGTACTGTGGAACGTGTAGAAATTTCAAGACAATAAAACCATCACAGGCCTGTGTTATTGTACACTAGCGATATGGCAGCGCTCTCTGGGAAGAATATATAAAATTAGCTCTTTTTAACCATAAAACGAATATGATGGCATAAAATAGCGCCCACTAACATCAACAGATTTTAAGGTTACGGATCACGGTACCTCAATGACCAACTAGAAAATGGAGCTATATCGTTCTTCTTATCTACAGACATGTACGTGGATTATATTTTTGGTATTGTACTAGCGGGTGTGAGGTGTTTTCCCACGTTTGGTGGATAAAATAAAAAATATATCGATTCTATTAACGCTATAAAAATAAAATTATATATATGGTATATTACAAAGGATTGTTTGTTTAGAATTTTTTCTCTGCTCAAGAGCTATCTACACATAACTGTCACAAATTTTGACCTGATAGACTAGAAAGTGTAAATCGTATAAAAAAACCGTTAGCAACTCGTGCACTTCAGTTATTATGGGCTAGCGATCATCAAAGTACCGCCATCTATAACCTGTACTTGATGTTTGTATGTTTAACGTTGGGTGAGCTTAGGCTAATGTTTCTCAGATAGATGGCGTTACAGATTAGAGTTAAAAAATATCACACAAAATATATATAAAGTGTTATATCATAAAATATATTTAAATATTCATATATTTTTCTTCTTTTATTTGCTGTTGTGTTATTATTGTTAAGAAAAATATATTTGAAACTTTGGAAACAGAAACACATTTATTATTATTTTAGAATTGTTGTTCTATCTAGAGAAATATTTCAGTAGCTATAATTTGTACGGTAATAGGTTTGTTTGTTTGTAATTAAGCACAAAGCACAATGGGCTATCTGTGCTCTGCCCACCACGGGTATCGAAACCCGGATTCTAGCGTTGTAAGCCCGCAGACATGCCGCTGTGCCAGGGCTGGTAAGAGGTTAACAAAAAACAAGCAAACAAAAACAAACCCAAAATAAATAGAGCAAAACTAGTATAATAATACATTATATAAAGGTTAAGCACTGGGGGAAAAAGCTAATAATTATAAATTCAATGATTTTGTATAAATTTGGTATTTAAATAACAGATGCTTTTGGCTCATTTTAAAGTTAAGTAGCATTATGGCTTCTCAATATTTGTTAAGTAAATCATTGGAAAAAGTTGTGTATTTTTAAAATTGTAGGGCTGTTCAATAGTAAGCGTAACTGCCTATAATAATTTCAATACAAGAATAATAACCCGATTCGAAGCAGCCAAATGTAAGTCATTCATTTCCGAAAAATAAAAAATAACAAACACGTTAATGCAATCAGCAATACAAAATACATAATATGTTTGTTTGAAAAATATATAAAAGATTCGATATTTCAATGAAAGAAATTGCATATTCATCGCAAACAGTATTTTAATTTACGAGCAAAAAATACCAGTAAAGATATTAGTATACTTTTCACCTGGTTTTTTAAACCACAAATTTTGCTGAAGGAGTGGTGTAAAATAAGCAACACGTCGACAACAGGCTAGTGAGTTCCAAACCATACAGTTTACTTCCAGAGGTCGCTATAGGTCACAGGGAATACAGCCAGCCAGCAGCACCTGCTGCCACATGAGCTTTGTCCGATTTTAAAACTGGATTGGTTGTAACTCTTGAAACGCAACTACACCCGAAACACTAACCATTAGGCCACACCCGAGCCTTCTTAAGTTTAGTGAAATTTTATACATGAGGGTCTAACTGCTTAAATGTTACTCTTGAATATGCTTGTAATGTCTTTGCTGGAGCTATAGAAATATCACCTTCAGATTATGTGCGTCAATACTGCTTTGAATTTAAGATCTCCGATCTACATGTGCATATCAGCGATTTAATTATAATTAGGTTCAATAGAAAGCGAAGAATGTATAAAAATGAGAAAAGATATCGAATATTTTTCTTTTTTTTATCTTAAATGGAGTGGCCAAGTCAAAATACAACGTACTTTTGAGATTATAGATTGTATTTTTATTTCATCGGGTTTGTTTGTTTATAATTAAGCACAAAGCTACACAATGGGCTATCTGTGCTCTGCCCACCACGGGTATCGAAACCCAGATTCTAGCGTCGTAAGTCCGCAGACAAACCGCTGTGCCACTGGGGGGCATTTAATCAGGGGTAGCCAAGTCCAATTACAACCTACATTTGAGATTATAGATTATATTTTTATCTAATCAGGATTATTCAAGTCCAATTACAACCTACATTTGAGATTATAGATTATATTTTTATCTAATCAGGATTATCCAAGTCAACATACAACCTACATTTGAGACTATAGATTATATTTTTATCTAATCAGGATTATCCAAGTCCAATTACAACCTACATTTGAGATTATAGATTATATTTTTATCTAATCAGGATTATCCAAGTCAACATACAACCTACATTTGAGACTATAGATTATATTTTTATCTAATCAGGATTATCCAAGTCAAAATACAACCTACATTTGAGATTATAGATTGTATTTTTATTTAACGTCCTGATTAATAACTATGGAAACAGGCTAGGGCACTTCCATTAATTTTTTTAATATTTTAATATTAAATCGTTTTCTAAAATATGAATTGCAAGAAAAACATTTGGCGGAATATTTTCCATAATGAGATAAGTTTTGGGTATTTGTTCGTAAATATTTTTCTATTTTACATACCAGGTTCTCTCCTTGGTGTATGACAACTATTATAAATTATTGTATTGAAAAAGGTTAGTTATGGCCTGTTGGCTAACATTAGAGGCTGCGGATCGGAAAGTCCTAGATTCGAGTTACGACATATCTCTAAACACGATCTTTACTATCAGCTGTGTGTTTTTTAAAACTACTGGGCCGTAGGAAGCGTTAAGGCCAGTCAGGCCATGGCCTGACCACTTTTTCATGGCATGTATAGCTACAGCTTATGTATTAAAACTTGCTTCTTGTAATTCATTACATTGCGTTTGTGTATGCAGTATTTGTAGTTAAAATGGCTCAAGATTCAATTTTACAACATTAAATGTTCAAACTTTTTCTAGAGGGCATGCCCCCAGACCCCCCTAGAAATGGCATGCTTCACATATCGGTAGTGTGCTTTGCATACATCGTGTATCACATTGTTTGGCTGTGGAAATGGCCTGACCACTCCAAAATTGGTTCCTACAGTGAATTATTACAGTCAATCCCGCTATTTGATTAAGAGTAGCCAGTTCCAGGCGGTAGGTTTATTTTCCCTGGTCAGCACTTTCAAATTAGAGATGGTTATGTTTGAGCTTTGGGGTTCTCTGACCTGGCCGTTTAGCTCGTGTGTCCATAAGCTGCCATTCAGTTTGAAGATACTACATAACTCAGAATAAAAACATATTAAGATTTTTTGCACCGCACTATGTCAGCACATTACCGACACTACTTTTATACGAATAAACTAACAAAAAATGTAATTAATATTGACATTTGTTTCTAAGGAATATTTACACCGCCACATACGAGAAAGGAGCGTAAAATGAATTAGAATATCTCAAGTCTGAAAGCACACACAAAAGTAAGGGCACGTACTTGTTCTGGATTTCGGAGCTGACGAACCGAGTTTGAATCCGTGCAATACCACAAAACATTACTCTCCCTTTAAGCTGAGGGTGCGTTATAAGAATGACAATCAATCCTTTACCGTGGATGGTGGGTGGTAGGGTCCTGCTTGACTGGCCTGTGAATAGTTCAAAATTTGGGATGGCGGTAGATAGCCTTAGTAATTTTGCTATAAATACAAATTTCACATAAAACAGTAATGGAAACTGACACATACTCACCTCTGTTTCACTGGAGTTACCTGAGCAGGCCTGAGGAACCGTGTCACAAAAACGAGAAAAATTGAACCTGTTTTCAATAAAATATCAAAATTAATTCTTTCATGTTTTAAACTCTTCTAAGTTGATGTTATGTTATTTATATTTAGTTCTGTATATTTGTTACTGTAATTATATTTGTTCTTGTTCCTATAGATAATAATGATATGACGTAATCCTTCTTATTCCACAACATGCTTTATACCCTTACTTTTGTATTATATTTTGTGACTAGCTGAAGTACCCGTCCCCTGGACGGAAGTTATGTAAATTCATGATTAATGAAAGGTTATCTAAAGACATGAAAA